AAAAAGATCATGTTTTGGCTTAAAATATCCAGTTCTGGTGGCACAATCCCAAATGGAAACAAACAGTGACAGGTTGCTAAAAAAAACACATTTGGGGGCTAAAAAGCCACAGTTATCACTCGCTAAAAAAGAACCATATTTGTGAGTCTTGATCAGTGGTCTGCAGCTGTCTGCAGCTGTCTGCAGCTTGGCAGGTGTATCCCTATTCAGCTTGCTCTCCTCCCGATGACAAAGTCAGCTTACTCCCATTTTACTAAAAATTGTATTTATTATATTTGAAATATTATATTCTATTGAATTATTATTTCCTTTTAAGTATTTGTTTACCTATGATCCTGTCTGTTTTTCACACATCGACACATACCGTTTGGTTTGGCTTATTGACAACATTTTAATAAATCTATAAAGCACAACATATCAGACAGTGCCAAAGACACAAAAATGAAGTCCCGGACTTATTTCCAACATTGTATGTTTTAGACAAGATGCATCAAACCCTTTAATCGTCCCCTGTGGACAATCAGTTATTGTTTTGTCAGGAAATTAATAAGGTAAAAAGCAGACACCCAAAAAAGAAAACACATTATGTAAGAAAACTGTTGGATGACACTTACAAAGATGCAATTAATTAAATGGTAAAACACACCCATAACTCTATCTAGAAGCCATTGTTTATATAACTGCTGTCTTTTAAACAATACCAAACATATTAGAATTACTGTGCACATCTTTAAATAAGCATTACAGTGGTGATAATCAGCTCCCCGATCAGTGAATAAAAATGGATGCTTGCTGTCGTATCACATCTGAAAGCATTTACCTCTTCCTAAACAAAGAAAACAGCTGCACACACATATAGATGCAGTACACAGCCGTTTGTGTTTAGCGTGTCCCAGTTTTTACCAGGTCACTGGGTCTTTCCTACATTTAAAGCCCAAATATGGAAATATGACGAGGATTATAACATGGCTGAAATTCAGGGCACACATGCATAAACACTGCACAGTCATACACATGCAGATATGAAAAATATTTAGACGCAAGACACAAACACATCGCATGAAAGGCTCTCTGAGAAACACAGTCACACATGCTCACAACACATTTATATCACAATATCACCATTCTCCAGTCTGTGTGTGCCCATCTGCCTCAGAGCTGCTGCACTAATGTGAGTCTTTATGAATGGCTTTTATGGCTTTATGAACATGAAATGACTCAGGTGTGTGTAAAAAGGAACCAAAATTAGCATGTAGCACATTAGCAATGAATCTTTTATTAAATGGAGTCAGTCATTGCAAAATGGTACCTTCCTACTGGGCATAGCAGCCATTTTTGTTCCTTCGTTACCGACCGAGGAGCACAGTGAAATCGTACATCGATCGTTTCCACACACTGAGACAATCATGAAAATGAAAACAGACTTTGCATCTATGCAAATGGATGATGTGTTTCTGTGTGTGTGTGTGTGTGTGTGTGTGTGTGTGTGTTTGTGTGTGTGCGCGCGTGTGAAAATATGCATTAGTGTGACTGTAACACTCGCAGAGCCGCACTGTTGCCATGACAACGCTACAGGCAAAGTGGGTCAGCAGGCTCCTGCCACACCCCTGTTGGCATGGCAACAAGGCTGGTCAATTAAACCTGAGCAGCACGATGACTCACACACACACATATACACACACACACACACACACACACACGCACACACAAACAAACCCCTTTCCGTGCAACAGGGAGGGGGAGTAGGGAAGTGATGTGTGTGTGTGATTGTCTTTCCTTTCCCCTTGCTTTCTGTAGGATTGCTGCTCTGTCTACGTGTAGGCTTTAGTGAGTCGGCGTGGCTGCATGCATGCTTATTTTAAAGACAGTGTGTGCGTGTGTGTGTGTGCATGTTAAGGCTGATATGGATGTTTTTAAGCCAAAAATGGAGACATTTTGAGCAAGAAGCAAACATCACAACTGACTGTGACAGACAGCGACGCCTGTCAGTCAAGACACAAAACATACCTCTCTCTGAACTGTAAAATCTTCTTAATTAAAAAAGCAATCTCAAAATCATCACCAAGACATACATGATAAGACACTAGTTTAAATCAAGAGACCCTCCTTGTGGAAAATCACCATTAACTGTACATTATTTTTACTTCTAATAGTTGGGATTTTTGGAGGCGACGTTTAGAAACTGCAGCTTAATTTTGGCGTTATTGGGCAAAAATCCCATAATATATTACAATTTAAATGGTCTGACAGAAAACTAGACTTCTGCACCTTCTCTTGCCTCCGTTTTCAGGCTACGCCATGATGGAAGACTTTGGCCAATCACAGGTCATTTCAGAGAGACGTGTTCCTTTTGGCTGTTCTACAAATGCAGGTGTGCGTGTACATCCCTTCAGCGAAAGCCTGATTCAATGGTGGAGAATCCTACAGAGAAAGTTACTATTTCAGCATTGGCAACAACTGCCTACACTGCAAAGCAACCCAAAAAATGAAGATGGTGTCAAAAAGACTAAAAGAGAGCCTCAGAATTAAAGCAATAAAACCAGTGTCAGTATCATCAAAATGTTCCAGAGATGGACAGAAACTGTTGCTAAGTTTAGCCTCCTGTGAACCGCTCACAGCTGCGGCTTTAACTTCATGTTTATGTACTGTGGCGAATGTTAGATGTGTGTCCTCGGCCTCATTTCCCACCATCACAAACCATCACACCAGGAGGAGAGTGGACAACAGCTTCATAGACCCACAGTCAGCCGTAGCAATATGAATCCATCCCACACAAACCCCAGCTCCTGGTGACCGGACAGACCGTGCCACTAGATGGGCAAACTTTCTGTTGCTGCAGTAACACAGATTAGACCCGGCGCTGCTGCTGGCCACCAGCCCGCTGCGACACCTGGCAATGGGGGGTTTGCACTGGCCAAATTCAAGCCGCTACAGTCACCGACCAAAAGGCCATCCAGGAGCTAATTCTTATCTCAAATTGTACTACAATTAAATAAGATTAATAAATCAATGTATGGGAAACACTGGGTTACTGGACTGAGCGTGTGCGTAAGCTCATGGTCATCTGTTGGGAGGGGCTTAGGACAGAGAGAGGAGAGCTGCAGGAGGAGGGTGTATTTTCAAATTCACAATTAAAACAGTCAGAATAAACCTAGTGACCTCAAACCTGCCCTAACCATGTACTCTATTCTCGACTGTATATGCGAATGCAAGGCAGATTAATCTGTGGTGTAACACCACAATCCACATTAAATATAATGATTTGTTACTACACACCTGTTTGCAGTTGTACTAGTAAAGAAATGCATGAGGAAAAACATCTGCATCTTTGTGTGCCTGGTCCTGTTATGATCCTGATCCCTAACATTATATCTGAAGTGTTTTCAAGGGAAACACAGTCATGAACATGGCTACGGGAGCTGTTGAAGTATTTCTGGTTTGAAAATTTCTCTTCCTGTACTGCAGCCTTTTCCTCTAACTATTCTAAAACAGGAAAGTTTACCCTTTATCTGGCTGCAAGTACAGCACATCACAGCTCCAAAGGCAGCCACACATGAGTCATTTTAAAATGCCTGGACTGTCGGTGTAGGCTACCATTCAAAACCACAACATGGCAAGTAGATAAATCTTATTAATCAGGTTAAAAAAACAGCTAATATTTCTCTCACTAAGAATATGTTCTCTTATCTGCTAAGTTGCATCATGTAGATCACAAAACTCCTCTCACAACATGCTCCTGAAAGGGTCAGCTCGCCCAAAATGACAAACATATTTTCTCACTTACCACGAGTGATATTTAGCCATGGAGACAGTTTTGTTTATTTGTGACCAGATCGTGATATTCTGCCTCCACTCTAATACACAGGAGATGATTCATTTTGTTTGTGGTGCTCGAAGCACTAAAAAAGTGTATCTCAATCACTTTCCAGAAACAATGTCTTGGTTGCTCTGGTTTAATCAGACAGTTCTCAAGAGGAACTATATCCTCCATCAATGTATGGAAAGTACCTCTCTAACAGCTTTCTTGCCTAACCTCAATGACAAGTGCCCAACAGGTGTAATTTAAACAGCTTAGGGTGGTGTAGGAAGGTTATATCCCCTCCCCTCCCTTGTATGAGAGGTAGTCTAGCAAGTAGTCCTTATGTATCTTTGTACTGGACACAGAAATTAAACTGATATTGATTGCCTCAGCTGAGTCTGGGAAAGATGGCAACAAACGTACTTCCTAAAAGTTGGCGTGTTCCTGGAGAGTGAGACACTTCTTTCGTCTGTATCTGCACAGTATGAAAGTAACCATCTCACAAGCAAATTAACTTAAGTGTGAACATTCCTTTACCTCTGTAGGTTCACTATCAGTTTACATGTGCAGCTGCCACAGACGTGTGTATGTGTGTGTGTATGGGTGTATGTCCTATGCATTATGTCACCAGTGCTTTAGTGTATTTATGCATTCAAGCTCTGTACCAAGGCCGCTAATCAACTCGAGCCAGAGAATTTAAAACATAAACTGATATTTAATGAGCTCACAATTTATGAATACACTTTGGGACGCAGTTAGGAAATGTTTTGCCATACTTTTCATCTCTGCAGTCTCAATGGAGCTGTGAGTCTTTCACAGCAGAAGTCATAGGCAGGGGGCTGGTGCTTGCGTCACTGATTTGCATTATTTCCTCTGGGGTGTTGATACTTTGTTTAGAAACTGGCTTTCATTGATATCTTTTTGTTGTCGGTTGCCTGTTTGATTTGTTAATTTTTTTGTTTGAAGCTGTGTCACTCTCCCAGAATTGTTCATCGGAACTTGTTTTGTACGTGCCTTGTATTGTCATTATCATTGTGCACGTACGTGCCTAAAAATTTTCACCATCAGCTCTCTGAATCATCTATTTCGGACATATGAACTTTATGTCGACGGCTGTTATCATTCATAGATTATTTACTTCATCATACTGATGTTAAAGATACTGTCAGCATAACACTTGTGTCTTTTTCTGTCCGTTCAGGCTGTAAGGAGTGTTGTGAGCGGTGTGTGGGCAGTCTGCCCTGGGCCTCTCTCATTGCCACTATTCTCCTCTACATGGGTGTGGCCTTGTTCTGTGGATGTGGCCATGAGGCTTTGAGCGGCACCGTCACCATCCTTCAGAACTACTTTGAAGTCATCAGAGCCCCGGGAGAAACGCTGGATGTGTTCACCATGTGAGTGATTTGTTTTTTCTTTCATATTTTTGGCATAATAAATATAAATTGCAAATTACATTTCATTACACTCATGCCGCAAGTTTCTTATCACAGTCAGGGCCCTGACACACCAGGCCGACTGTTGGCTGACTGTCAACGTTGGGCCATTGGTGAGCATCTGTCGCCCTAGTTTTTGCGGTGTGTCCCGCACCTTTGGTACCACTGGGCCCTTGTTGGCAACTTTTCAGCCAGTTCAGCATGCTGAATCAGCGTTGGACCTAATGGAGCCCAACCCAATTAAATAAATCTGACTGGCAGTTATGCTCAGTGTACAAGAAGAGAAACGGAAGTGAGGAAAGCTGACAAACAACTTAAGTCCAGAGACTGAGACTGAAACAAAGTTGTTATTAAGTAAGATTATTTTTTCAGCCATTGAGGTCTTTAGCAGAAACAGTTCGTAAGTGTTCGCTGACGCACAGCAAATATAATTGTTCCTGCAACATCAACAGACTTCCTAGTGTCTTAAATCTTGTCAGTCTTCCAGTTTCTCTTTTTGAATAATAAATACAGACGACGGCCACCTGCTGGTGGGGAGAGTTATTTCCTCTGACGCAGGCAGAATGTACATGCTAGTTGGCTGCTAGCTGTATTCTTTGCAGTGCGTTCAAGGCATCTTTTTGGCCAAGACACAGGCAACATGAGGCAACACAACACTGGCCTTCGTCGTGACTAGTTCTTTGATGTTGGTTTGATGTGTCTGAGCAACCCGTACTCGAAGGCGTTGTAATCCAGCGCTTGGGCAGTGACTTGCGGCTTCAGACACTGACGAAAAAGCCATCCTTTAACATTGGCATTATACACAGCCAGTTGCCGTCTTAACTTTGGGGCAAGAACGAAAGTTAAGGCGGCGAAAGTCCTAATAGGGACTTTCACCCTGGACAGTGGTGCTTGCATCCCGTACGATTTTTGTTGCCTTAACCCAACCATGTGCATCAGTTTTTGGAGGAAAAATAACGTCAATTTGCATTGGTGTACTGACATAGTGCGTTTATTTTGAAAGTCATAGGAAACTGTACATTTCTTATGAAAATGGAGGTGTATTTTGAAAGAAGACAATGTGTGGAATAGACATAACTTGACAGGACACCCCAGAACGTCAACAATCAATGCACCCAGGGTACCTTTCACGACATATCTGGATGTGGAAGGTCCATGACCAAACGTCGATATGTGACGAGGTCAGAGTGAGAATGTGTTGGTCTGTGCTTTTAGGATAAACTCATCACATTCAGGATCACAGGACAAAGTTTTCATCTTTAGGTACATTACTGGTTGGCCTCTTGTATTTTTTCCATCACCCCTGTGAGAACCATTACAGCCTTTAGTCTTCCTAATAAATACACAACACATTGTCAGTTTGACAGGTAATTACAGGTCCATATGTGGTCTGACTCAGTAGCCTACTAAATGGATTTCTGTTCAGGGAATATTATCTGATATTTGGCCAGTCTGGGAATAAATTCCATCAGTGCTGATGCCTTCAGTTTTCAGTGGTGGAAAAACTGATTCAGCAACAATAATCCATGAGCAGATTTTTCTGATTTTGTCAGAAACCAGCAGGGATTTACTGTAACAGTACACAAACCCACGATTCGGTGTGAGTTTGGTGCAGCGAGAAAAAAATATAGATCTGTTTCTTTTCATGTTTTTTTTAACAGACAGTAGTGCAAGTGTCATAGATGGACACAATCCTCTTGCTGGGGACTGAGATAGTATTTTGCACTCAGGCAACTCTGGAAAAATATTTTTTACTATAAAAATAAGGAGCATTTCAAACACTTGGGTATTGCACTGAACAAACACCAAAATACTGGAGATACAATAATAAGCCTTGTGCAATAGAAGTTCTACCTGGCTATTTTTAAATATTCAAAGCACCCAAGCATTTATTATCCTGCTAATTGGCACATCTGGGTGATGCCTTGAATGTGTGTTCGCATGTTGGATGTGTTTACATTCATATCCCCTACAATGGTAGAGCTACGGTGCACAGTGACCTAATCTTGTGCCCAACTCTCTTTCCGTTGCTGTTGTAGCTGCCTGGGAACCCATGGGCAGGTCTTGCAGCTCCAGCATTTGCACTTACCATAGTGTGACTGACTCACACATAGGGTTCCAGCGGTATGAGAATTTCACAGTACTATAACTGTCTCAGAAAATATCGTTTCCAAAACATTCCACAGGAACCAATGTTCTTACACCCACTCTGTCCAACAGCTAAACTCAAGCTCACCAAATGTGTTACCAGTGTAGGGCTAAAAGTTTGCAGCAGAAGTCCCGTATGTGAACACTGGTCACACCTTATGTGCATTGATCTCATACCATGTATTCTGCAGCTGTGAGCAGCAGACTGTGACCGTGTACTATGATGCTTCGTTACAAATACACAAACCGTTACAGCCCTAGAAACCATGTACATGTACACAAACATAACATCTTGATGCAGTACTGAGCTAAATGTGACACTTGTTATTCATATCAGTTAAAATATTTGCCTGAAGAGTGTGAGCGAGCTGACCATACAAGTTTTCCTCTCATTATAATAGGGAAAGTGCCCACTACCAAAACCAACCCACTTATCACAGATCACGCCTCATCCTCCATCTTCACTTATTATCTCTGAATTGTAAATGGCGATTACACTTGGTAATTAAGCTGAAGATATGATATTAAGTCTACAAATAACACTTCAAGATGTAGCATGAAAATAAACATACTCAGTAATTACTGACACAGTGTGTGTGTGTGTGTGTGTGTGTGTGTGTTTTCTCCACAGCATTGACATCCTGAAGTACATCATCTATGGCCTTGCAGCTGGATTCTTTGTGTTTGGAGTGCTGTTGCTGGTGGAGGGCTTTTTCACCACCGGAGCTATTAGGGATCTCTATGGAGAGTTCAAGATCACTGCCTGTGGACGCTGCCTGACTGCATTTGTAAGAGATCTCTCTAACCAGTATATTTGATGTGATACGCTGACAAATTAATTGTATTGTCACACTGTCAGATAAACAAAGGGCTTGTAGCAAGATGTTTTTGGGTAGTTGTCAGTAATGGATTACATCGTTTAAGGGTAAAGGCTGGTATCATGTTTTTCCTGTTGAAATACAAACACCAAAACCAACAAGAATTGTGTGCGTAACAAAGCCTGATACCCTGTGCAAAAAACTCCAAACTTTAGGTCTAGTGTTTAGGATTTAGTGGCATCTAGTGGTGAGGTTGCAGATTGCAACAAACTGAAGCTGCTTCTGTGTGCCAAGTGTGCAGCTCTGCAGGAAGTGGCTTTGAAGCCAATTTTCATAGTGGCCAAACAGTGGAATCACAGCCTTCAAGGGATGCCATGTGGCCCAGAAACAACCCTGCAAAATGACTTGTTTTGCTATCAGAATCTGATCCATCCGGTCCAATAACGTTTGGAAATTATAGAAGAGCAGCACAATTAAATAATTTCAAGCTAGTGGAGCATTAAACCAGCAGACTCTTATGGGCCAGACAGTGTTGAAGCAGTGCCGATTATCCAGGTAATATATGTGGCAGTTAAACATTTTTGGCTTCGTGTGCCAACGCTGCATAAAGTTCTCTTTATACATCCATGCAAGTGTGTAGGGGAACTATGGTGGCCGACGCTTAAACGTAAATGGGAGCCAGTAGTTTGTCCGTTCTGGCCTACTGTAAAAACAACATGGAGGACTCTGAATAAGAGGACCTGCTTTGATATGAACAGCTCATTCTAAGGTAACAAAAACACAATGATTTTTTGTTTCAGGTGATTAAACACTAATTAAAAAAAACACAGTTGTGGACCTTTAAATACACATTATGAGCCAAATGGTTGCTCTAGGTGACAAGTTCCTTCATGAACACACACACACAGAATAGTCCCCAAAGATCCAATGACCAGCTACTTTGGGAAATTAGTGAGTCTTTTGTCAAAAATTAAGCTATATATTTATGCACTGCTTTTAAAGATTTTACATGTGCCGTAGGAAGTAGTGTGTTTAAAGGTGAGAGCCACAAACAGAGTGGAGGTCAAAAATATTAGACTAAATTCCTAAAAGGCTTGTGATATCAGTTATGTTGTTTACCGTTGTATCACATGTAGATATTATTGTGCATCCCTATATTGTTTATTTAATTCTGATAAGAATTCCCTCAGTGTTCATGGGGTTTTTACCGTGAACTGAATTTTCTGCAGAGGTCTCTACCTCTCTAAAACAAACGCATCAGGTGATTAAAACCATTAAAAACCCTGAATAAAGCAGTTCCATGTTACAAACCGTTTCTTCTGCGCTGTTTGGCACCATACAGACGGCTGCTCACCGAGCGTCTGCTAATGTGTGCTCACCTTTCTCTCTGATAGCTTAGTGTGTGCTCATCTGATTTATGATGCGGACGTTATGGAGGTTTCAAGCAGGAGCCGAATTATCTGCAGAGGTGTCATCCTCTTAAAAACCAATGGACCACGTGATTTAACCATTAAAGATACTGAATAGAGCAGTTTCATGTTACAAATTAGTGTTTCTCCGACGCTGCTTGGTTCGTTGCAGATGTGCTGTCAGCCTAGCAACTGCTAATGTGTGAGCACCTTTTTTCTCTGATAACTTAAGATCACACATTCAGGAGGTTTTTACCAGGAGTCGAATTATCTGCAGAGGTCTCCTCCTCTCCAAAACAAAGAGAACCAGTGATTTAAACTGGTAAAAACACTGAATAAAGCAGTTTCACATTTTAAAAAAAATAAGATTTTCCATTGCTGCTTTTCGTGGAGGGGCTTCTAACAATAGCCCTTTTTAGATAGGAATTGTGCAAATTTGCAGGAAAGCCCAATCAGTCTGCTTTCAGCATTGGCAGTATAAAAACAAAATCGGGGAGTGCAGCAAAATGTCACCTACTTACTTTTGTTTATACAGAATGCACCTTTTTCGGGGCAATGGGGGGCGTGAGCAAGTAAAAAAAACATTTAGCTCAGCGTGTGACGTAAACAGTGACGTGGGAGGGAAGCCACAGCTGGTCAGTCCTTCGGCAATTCTCTTGTTAGTTGGCCCGTCCTTCACCGTCCCCGTCATTTGACGGTTCTTCGTTTGTGAGGACAAGGATGGCGCGCAATTCCTTGTCTCCCCAGTTGCTCATTTTTACAGTGTCTGTCAGGTTTGCTTTTCCCTCTTGCTACTAGCTGCTCATTCCTGCTATCAGCTATTTCCTGTTTATCCACCGCCAGTGGCTTGCACATGCGGCGTCATCAACATCTCCTCCCATAAGTCTTCAACAGCCCCTCTTGTTGCGGAAGGGCGCCTCGGTCTGTTTAAACTAATAGGGTTCCGTCAATATGTCTACCCTACAAGGGGGAAAATTGGGCACCTCGGATCAACTCGCCAATCCGGCTCTGTGTATCTAAGCGCTCACAGCTCTCCGGCAAAATGGCCCAACATTTGCCAAAAATCTGGCAGTGTAAAAGGGGCTTATGATGGCAGACATGAAACAAACAATTGGCCTTATTAGAGCCAGTGGTTAGTTTGCCCGTTCTGGGCTGCTGCAGATACATGACGGTGCAACATGGCGATCTGCGTAAACGAGAACTCGTTCCCTATGTAGATATAAACAGCCCATTTAAATGTAACAAAAACGCAACTGTTCTTATTTCAGGTGATTATACCCCAAAGAAAACATAATTATTTTACTGTCATATTCCATTTCTGCCAGTATATCACCCTAAATCCAACACACTGGACCTTTAAAAGATCAGTTCCTGCAGAAGTGGCATGATGAGCTCCACAGCACAGGTTTAGGTTTCAGGGGGGAATGCAGGTGACATATCCCCCAAATATTTAGAACAAGTCCCCCCAGAGAGCTTTTATTTGAAAAAATAAAAGACATTTAATTACAATTTTAATGCACTCGAAATTTTATATGGAGGATCATCCCCAAACCCCCTGATTCATATGTCCCCCTCCATGCTGAAATAAAATCTACACCCTTTCTTGAGAGTATGCCATCATGTGACTTCTACTGTGAATTTAAAGAGGACTATAACTCAGAAGTAATCATTTTGTGAAAACAGGAGGAATGCCCAGGCTATTTGAAATCTTTGAGATTCCAATTCCTAAAATAGCAGGAGGATACAAAGAGTTTGGAAAGGAATAAAAGCTTCTGTAATTTATGTAATGACAGTCGCCTGGGGGATGAATATCATGTTTTATTTGAATAGAAACATTGTCGAAAATAGGAAGAAGAACCTGCCAAAAATGCTTTGTAAACTACATGTCCAGGTTTAAACTTGCCATATACATTATTACAGACAGATAAACCAAGGACAATATGTAAACTAGGTGATTTTTTGAGTATCACTCTGCCTCTCTTTAAGTGACTCACTTTGTTCTAATGATCTATTGTGGTTGCTTCTTAATATCAGTATTTGTGTTTCAGAGTAAATAAATCTGATTCTAAAATGATGTATTATGAAGTATTGTTGGTTTTGGTTTTCTCAGAGGAAAAATATCGACACCAACCTCATCCTTTAATGTTGTGTAATATTAGCACCTCCCTCCGGATAAAGATTTCCAGGTACTGGACACTGTTTTGGAACAAACCCAGGACTGGCCTAACTCACTTTAATCAGCACAACAGATCTTTGTGCAGTTGTCCCCTGAATTATTTTATTGTCTGTGTTTCTCACTGCGAAACTCAGTCTCCATGTGGCCTCTTTCTGTTAGTCACGTCTGATTCATGTGGAGGAGGGAGACAGAGAGAGAGAGAGAGAGAGAGATTAGGCATTGTCCACTTCTGCTCATCTGCCCAGGAAATGTTTCCCTCACATCTGTAGTTCTCTGCGCAGTGGAGAAGGAAAGCTTTCTGGTCCAGGCCTCTGGAGACACACAGCGCACGCACACACACTCACACATGCAGATCTTTGGCCTGTGAGAGAACGCTAAAAGGCAAAAAAGAGAAAGAGAAAACAGTAATCGGCAGTCAGTTGTAGGTGTTTTAATGCCTCAGTGTGAAATGATGGAGAGCACTGACACAATTACCTTCACACTTGTGCAGTGTATCACATACAGTATGAATCTAATTTCAAAAAGTGTTAATGGCATAATGGGAAATGAACGTTGCAGATGAATATTGTACTTTTTGCATATTATGTATAAATGAGTCCACTTTACATAATGAATGCAATATATAAAATGAGTTCATTAGATAAAGTGTCAATAAGCAACTTAATAGGTCTATTTTCTAAAACACTACAGATTTTTTGAATACTATTTTTACGTTTGTAAAGTAACAGTTGTCTCATGCAAAACATGTCATCTATGTCACTCATGTCTTGTCTCTGTTTTTGCAGCTGATGTTCCTGGCCTACCTGTTCTTCCTGGTATGGCTCGGAGTGACAGCGTTCACCAGCCTGCCAGTCTTCATGTACTTCAACGTTTGGTCCATGTGTCAGAACACCAGCTTGGTGGAGGGAGCAAACCTCTGCCTGGACCTGCGTCAGTTTGGTATGTGTTATGGTTACAGAAAATATCTCTGAAAAAGATGGATGGATGTGCTGCATCTACCTACTGTCTTATCTATGCTGAAGGGTTGAAACCCTGGCACATTGTAGACTCACTATTGATTGGAAGCTGTGTGCAAATGCTGTTCAAGAAATTTAACCTCAATCAGCCTAGACTCACAAGTCAGTCTTTAGATGCTTTGCTTAACTAAAGACTGATGACTTTCTCCCTGATTTTGTGTTTAGATGGGCGGATACAATTTCAGAGTTTAAAAAACTCCCTACATTGCAGAACCAATAGTAAATCTGCAGGGCGGTCCTTCGGTGGCCCGCTGAACTCTTGTGCTTGTAAACATAGTCCCACTAGAAACACGTGTAGCGGTACAAAATGGCTCAGCCTTCAAAGTTAGTGGGTGTTCGTCATTCTCGCCAACTAAAAGAAACAAACATAATCTTTTACAAGGCCATGATTCATCCGTCCGGCCGGACTATAGAGGGAATCGCCTTGTTGTTTACAAATACTTCCGGGTAGAAAACCAGCAGAGCTTTAAGCTATATATATAGCCTATATATCACATTTTTCACATCATTGTATCACCGTTTGGACTAATCCGATGTTTGTAAAGTCTATAAACACAATGATTGAACAAACATTACTATTTCTGTGTGTGCACGTTTAGCTGGGCTAACTGTTAGCTGTTAGCCCTGTTAGCCGTTAGCGGTGTCTGTAATAGGTAATAACTCATTAAACAGTCCCTGAAAAAAATATCTTTCCAGCGGATATCTTAGTTACAACATGATTGAGCTAGCAAAGCAGTTTTGTGTTGCTATGTGTGGTATTTATTCAGTTTTGGGAAATCACGATGTCTAGAAAGCATCGGTGGCTGCAGCTGACAGGGACAGCTAACACTAGCAGCAAAGCTAACAACAGGACATCATCTGTTAAAAGCCTCCCGTTGTCAGATATGACATGAAACTACTCCAGTTACCTCAATCATGTTGTAACTAAGACATCCGCTGGAAAAAATATTTTCTTCACGGATGAGCACACGTTTGATAAAACGGAGTTTAATCTCTCGGCATCCATTTTCAAGCTCTCTGTGTGTTTGTTTCCTTGCGAACCAAAAAAGGAGGAGCACACATTTCCGAGAAGGCGTGTCCTTTTCAAAAATGCAAGAGGCGTTGCTTTGTTGCCGGCTGTTTTTGCCGGTGTGTTAAACACACTTTAGAAAGGAGTGTCCCCAGACTATCAGAAAGTGGAGATCTCTAATTGTCTGGTGGCGAGACTACAATCAGCCTGATGGGGGCTATAGATTAAAATTGCAATTTTGGAAAGGAGATGCCCCTCCCATCATCAGTCCTTTTGACTTGAAGTTGCACACAAAAATCCAGCTCAGTGTGCTCTACAAAAAACATCCTCAAGAACCATTAAAGTCTGCCCAATTAGATTTTCTTCCATTTAGATTTTTTTGAAAAACTCTTTTTTGGCATTTCTTCCTAAATCGTAGATTCAATCACTATCAAATTATCTGTGCATTACAATTAGATAAATCTTCACAAAACTTGCATAAAGCTTGTTTACGTCTTTTTTAGTTTTCAAGATATTGACCAATGAACTTCAGGAGGGGCGTGGCTTAGCACATTAGACCTAACTCCACAACCCTTTGGCAAATCATTACAAAACTTGCTAGATATGTCCACAGAGTACCTGACACATACCCTGAAATTTTCATTCGAATTGACCACCAGGGGGCGCTCCAAGTGCAAAGAAAAAAAAAAGACGGGGCATAGCACTAATAAGACTACAAATCAGAATTTTTTTGTGCAATCACTTGCAGGTTATGTTTCGTAACAGTGTTAAACCTAGTGTGTGAAATAATTTTGAATTTGCTCAGTAGGGGGCGCCACCTGTTCTGGACAAGTGCATTGGCCTGGTGAAGAATTTGGCCATAAGTCAATGAGAGTTTATCCGCTAAATCATATCATATTATAAATCACTTATCAGTAAACTTGGTGGATATTTTTGATTAAGCTGTTGAAGCATGTCCCCAAAATGTTTTCCCAGTTGACCAATAGGGGGTGAGGGCATTACCAAAAAAGACCGCAGTCTGTCCGATATAAAAGCTACCTGTTAGTTATGTCTAATGCAGGTGCTGGAAACTGTCAAAGGTGTTGATCCCTCACAGCTTTCAACTTTTAACAGTCTGTGCAGGCCTGAACACCTGTGACTATTTTTTATCATCGAAATATTGATGTTACCATTTCTGTGTTATCTTGTGCAATGTTTTTAAAGTCACTGACCTTTACGTGCAATATTTTGAGTGAATTCACAAACCCAGTAGTAAGAAAGTAAGAAAGAATTTCTTTGATAACACAAAATCTTATATGCGAATATGCCTCAGGGCGTGAAGACTGGTATTCCACTCACTTTGGTTCAAATGCAGGGAGAGGACAGAGAAAAGCATCTGTCTCTCTTGTCTTTCTGAGCTCAAGCTTAGTGAACTTTGACCTGCTTTTTGCATATCCAATCGTCCACTGTGCTGAGCTGCACTGAGAAAAACTAGAACTTCTACAATTTGAAAGAAACATCTCTTTTTCTCCTTCGGGGTTTTATTAAAGTGGAAACAGTTCTCCTATCATCCACAGGAATTGTTGATCAGCTTTCGATTACAGTCTGTCCGTGCATCTTGTGCTCTTGATATCAAGTGCCAGTAAAGATACATATTCTCATACAGTTTTTCCTGCACTGCCTGATTACTGAGAGAGCACATACTGCGTGTATCCTCCCACTTAGTGCAGGCAAGTTACTGGCACACATAACGGAAAAACCTGTGTGTGTGCGACAAAATTGCCAAATTACCAATAGAAAGCCCACAGTGTACCATGTGCCACAACCAAGCCCAGAATCTTCTCCTCACTCAGAGGGACCAATGAAGCTGAACTAAGCTGGACTTTATTGGTGTTTTAATGACAGAAGATGATTGAGCCTGGTCTGTGATGTTAGCAGAAGGCCTGTGGATTCAACATGTGTCAGGTTTGGTATTCCAGGGATCCCACAGGTGGGCTGGTGAATTAAAAACTGTTCCCATTCCTCAGCACTTTTCTGACACTCCAAGAAAGGCTCTGTCATTTTACATTTGTGCCTCTTTTAGGCAGTTGTTTAGCTTTGATTTAAGAAGTGTCCAAACAAGTGGGCTAAATAAAAATCCAGGAAATAATTAAGTTGGTCATTATACAAAATTCTGCCAGTATAGTACTAAATATGCTAAATATGCTTCTCCTTTGTGGCTTTTTTGTACCATATCAGAGTAAAATCAGCAACTCATTTCACAAGCTCCATTGTTAAACTGCAGCACACAGAGTGCAGATGCAGTGAAACATTTCCAAAAGAGCAAATAAACACCAAATGGGAGTGAAAAGGATATTTTACAGTGAGTTAATGGCTGTTTGGACAAGAATAAAAATAAAACCAAAATATAGCCACAAGCGGCAATCCCTGGTTCAAGCTCTCTCTCTCTGTCAGAAGAAGGAAGCAGCTCAGTTGCCAAAATCAAAGCCACAAGCAGCAGTGAGCAGGTTTCAGGCTTCACAAAGCTGAGCAAAGACACTTCAGCTGGTTTGTTTAAAGGAGGAGTGAAAACGATCACACACTTGTTTCATCATCACAGTAAATGCAGCATTTTAATAACTGCATACTCAAAGTCACGTCTTTTGCTCTGCCTTTATCAGATGTAAACGAAACGTGGTGGGTACCTTCAGGACTTAGTGCAGGATGTCGCCACTGAGTTTAATCAGGATCGCTCCAAGACAACTTGAGTTAAGGTCTATGTCCTGCTAAGCCCCGCCCTTTGTGAGGACTCATTAAAGTGGCCATGTTTTTTGACTGATCTTGTTTGTTTGTAATAGGATTGTGTAGCTCCATCCATCTGATGTACATTTTGTAAGTGTTATTTGCTGTTTCGTCACTGCTACAAATGCAGCTGTAACAAGTATGTCATTATTACTATCCTCAATCATATTTTAAGGAGCTATAAATTATATTTAGCCACAAAATAAGCCTGAAAAGGCGGCGGCCAGTAGCTCAGTGCTTAGAGCTGGCTTCCCATGTACAAAGGCACAAAGGCATTGTCCTTACTTCAGTGGCCGTGGGCTCTATTCCAACCTATGGCCCTCTGCTGTATGTCATCCCCTCTCTCCCCCCTCATGCTTGAGATGGTCCTGTCTAATGAAGGCAAAAATGCCCAGATAATACACCATCTTATCTAGCTGCATTGGTGTGAACCAGCAGGTTTTTAGAATGTTGCAGAACGGCGTATTGCAAGTAGTTGCCTATTTAAGCTTGTCTTGTTGCAAATCTTTAGTCTGAACTGAGCTTTTCATTACTGTGATTGACATTATGCAAACAAACAAAAAAATCCATCATGGTTTTTTTTTATATAGAGCACACTGAGCTACATATGTGTGCCAAATTTTAAGTCAATCAGACTCACTGTGTGTGGGGCCTGGCCTTTTCCAAAATTGCATTTTTGGAAGTTATTTACAGCGCCACCATCTGGCCGACCAAAGTTATATTACTTGGGAAGATTTGCACATCATTTCACGTTTTTCAGGCCAAGTTTCATGTCTCTAGCTCATTTCAGCTCACAGTGAGTAGCAGCATAGGACGACAAATAGCAATAAATCGCCAAAACCCAAGGGTTCTGATCCTTCAGGGCTTCAACCCTAATAAATAAGATTAACCATAACCCCACAATTATTACTCACTGTAGAATGTAGAGACTGATTTTCACACCGCATTTCAAATTAATTCACTTTTCCATGTAGGGCCTTGTATTCTAATTATATTATATATAGTTATTTCATCATATTATAATGAAATAGGCAGTCAGTGACACTGGAAACTTTTTGGACACCTTAACATGAACTTTTGTTTTTATATTGAGACAAATAACATAAACACACACACAGCACAGTACACATATACATATCTGAGAGTCATGTACTCATGGCGAAGCTTCCCACTGGCCACCAATTTAGACTTTCCATTAGCATGTTATCTGACTCACTCAAACAAGTGCCATAACGTATGCACATACACAACACATCCACTGGGCACAGCGCCATGAACTTTCTTTGCAATTGAGAACACAGTGGTTTATGGTTTAATACAGTATCCACGACTTCTGACACCATATTAAACCACTGTGTTAAAAAAAATGAATTATACACCTTTATACATGCTAATAATACATTCACTACTTTGTGAGATGTGCACATGTGAGAATGATTATGTGTAATTCTACATGGTTCAGTCCAAGCTCTGTCCACCATGTTGTTCTCCAGGTGCCCACATAAAACAAAGAGGCATTTTGTAGAGTCTCCTGCTACGCTGCCATCTACTGTCCACAGTTTAAACTGCAACTTGGCCCCCTGTCAGCAAACTAATTACTGTATCTAATGAACATCGCTCACAGGGAATAATTACAGTATCTCACTTAAAATAAAAATGCTGGCTCATAAAGGTTTGGATTCAACAGTGTGGTCAGTTTGATGTGACTGAGTTGATTCTCATAAGCAGCACTCTGTGGTCATACTGGACAGCTCCCAGTGGTCAGCACTGCAGTACCAGTGAAGCAATGCTAGTATTAACTTAATAAATACAGAGACTCTTTCAGCATTCTTGCAAACTATGGATGGGTGAAGTAGATGAATAATGAAGAGTGTATTTTTAATATCTCTGTTCATCAGGAGCGGTGACCATCTCTGAGGAGAGGAAGGTGTGTACAGGATCTGAGAAGTTCTTCAAGATGTGTGAATCCAACGAGGTGAGATGAAACAAGGAGAGACGCTAGAAGTGATACAGATATCAAATACAATGCATGGCCTGTTTAAAGACAAAGAGCAGACACATGCAAACCCTGAATGTCCGTCTAAAATGACTCCTGTTGTGTGTTACAGCTGGACTTGACCTTCCATCTGTTCGTGTGCACACTGGCAGGCGCAGGAGCTGCTGTCATCGCCATGGTGAGGATCATTATTCTCATACCTGATGAGAATGGCTACTAATTGGCAATGATTGGTTTGACCTCAAACCTGTGGGTCAACCTTATAATAGGACAAAAATGGACACAAAGCTCACTGGAGCACAGCCCAGTCACCAGAAGAAAATGTTGGCATTGTACGTTTCTGCAAACCATGGATATGTTACATTTGTTTGTTTTACATGTATGATATCAATGTTTTAAAAGTGATGTGGTGTATTATAGAGCACAAGAGGCGCTCCACAACCCAGTCACCCAAATTAAGTTTTAACACAGATATGTTAAAACTTTACATTTTGACAACACTGTGGTTAACATGTGGTTAATTTTAGGCACAAAAAAAATGGTTATGGTGAGGAAAAGATCATGTGTCAACTTAAAATACCCAGCTTTGGCAGCACAATCCCTGCATGAAAAGCGGCAATGTCTCAGCAAAAAGCGACTGCTTTTCGTTCCTAAGAAGCTGCTGGTATCACAACAATGATGCCTTAAATCACAACTAGTTTTGTTGCTCACGAGTCACAACTTTGTCATTGGGAGGTGGAGGGGATGGATGGTATGACACCTTGGCAAGATGCCTGCTAAGCTGCGCTCCACTGTTCAGGACCAATAAACAACAAAACTAGCTGGGATTTAATGCATCATTGTTGTGTTTCCAGCGACTTTTCAGGCACGAGAAGCGGTTGTTCTTTGCCAAGACATTGCTGCTTTTTATGCAGGGATTGTGCCACCAAAGCTGGGTACTTTAAGTCAAAACATGATCTTTTCCTAACCATAACCAAGCGTTTTTTGTGCCTAAACTTAACCACATGTTAAGTTTTAAAGTATCTGCTATATAATAACATGCAGATGTATCTGTAGTTTGCAGAAAAGTACAGTGCAGACATTATTTCTGGTGATTGCATTGTGGAACACCTCTTGTGCTCTATAATCAGAGTGTGTAGTGTACTTGTAGTATACAGAAATTTTTTTTTTTTTTTTTTTTCAGAGAAAATGTCAGGTCTTTGAGGGGTTGTTGTTTATGTCATTAGAAATAGGCCTCATTCCCAAAGCCACCTATAGAGGGACACACAGAGAGAAAGACAGAGAGTGAGAGAGGAGTGAATCTAAGCTTGTGTGTCTGCAGTAATACAGATGGTGAGTCACCGAGCTGTTCAGCCATCAGAGGCGTGGAGATGATCAGCTCTGTCAGATATATCCCTCCATGTTGCATGTTGTGTTTTTTTTTTGCACAATCTGAAATACAGAAAATGATGAAAAAATAGTATACAGTGCAGGGAGTGGCATAGAACCATATAGGCTTATCTGACGCCTCCATCTAGGTGGCACCAGAGCTCTAGACTGTATGCATTCATCAGATCTTTACTAACCTGGGCCCATATTAAACGTTCTTCATAATCTCTCTCTCCTGACCACCACTAGTGTAAACAGCAGAGCATTAACATCCATCCTGCTTCCATTTTCTGCACCTGCTTATTCCTACTCAGTCGCAAGGAGTTGGCGTCTATCCCAGAAACACTCTCCACTTCCCCCACAGTTTCCTGTCAGAGAAACAAATCGTGAAGCCTTTAAACACGAAAGAACCTAATCAGACTGACGGACACCTAATATGACAGCATATACTGAAAGTGATGAATAATATGTATTTCTGCTTTGTGGCAGCTGGTATGGTGGGTTTGTCTCCTGCTAGCGGGATGTCATAGCTTAAAATTTAGAGTGTATTATACAGGGTAATGTGGGAAAGAAAGCCCAAAGAATGCCATTCAGTTTTTATGACTTGACTGGGCCTCCAAAATGAAAAGCAATATTGTGTGGATCATGCAAAATGGATTTCAGATTATTAAGAATACTGCTTTGTTCAGTTACCCGTTTAATACAATAAAAAAATCACTCAGGGAAAACAAGTCAAAGCAAAATAAATGTGACAAAGGCTTGTGAAGCATGGTGTAATTACATGCTGTTAAGAGTAGTTTAATTCCAGTTAAATAAGTTGCTGTCCTGTATGTGATCAACAGGGGGCACTGGAGCTCAACAAGCTGAAGGGGTTAGGACTGCCTGCACAGTGCAGCTCCTGTCTCATACCTGCTTTACCACAAATACATTTGTCTCATCTAGAAATCAAATGTTCACAAGAAAAAGAGTATGAATTTCATACATTTCATTTTAACTCACATTTAACATGCAATAATGTCTTTTTTGGCCACTAGGGGGAGCAGAAACAAGTTGTAAGGACAACCACTGACATATTACTTAGCAATTTATCTCTATATATTGATTTCTACATATGAATGTGGAATCTATAGAAAAAGGGACAATATTTTGGTATCAGAATAACCCGTGTGAGACGCCTGCCAAGCTGCAGACCACGGTTTGAGACCAACAAGTGAGTGAGTCATCGCTGCGTTTCCTGTGGCTTTTAAGCCACCAAACATGAGTGTTTTTTTGGCAACCTGTCACTGTGTTTCCACCAGGGATAGAGCCATGAAAAGCCATTGTTTTTTACTCAGACATCACATCGTTTCCACCCACATATAGTGCCATAAAAAGATACTGTTTTTCACCAAGACATTGCTGTATTTCCGGCCCAGAAAGTGCCATGAAAACCGGTTGTTTTGACCGAAAACATGATCTTCTCCTGATCAGAATCAAGTGTTTTTTGTGCCTAAACTTAACAAGTTATCCACCTTGTTGTTGAAACATAAAGAAATGTAAAGTTTGAATGTGTGCGCTACATAATAACGTACAAATGTTACATATCTGTGGTTTGCAGAGACATAAAAAGACAAAATTTACTCTGGCAATTGGGTTGAAATTTCCAGTACTTTTTGGCAGGTAGTGGTAAGAGTGATGGAAGTGATTACAAAGAGGCTGGCGGACATTTTGGGGTCTGAAAGTAATTACTATTACATGCACCCTGTCTATTCGCCTTGTATCTATTGCTTCAGCAGGCTTTGTCCAAGGTCGATATGCCTCTCATTCAGGTGCAATTTGGACTAAAGCTGTACGTATATGCAAAACAAACTCGCGGTTTGCTGTCTGGTTTGCGTCACATGTATTGTCATTAACCCTGACTTTTCCTCTCCTCCCTCAGGTCCACTTCCTGATGGCTCTAGCCGCCAACTGGGGCTATCTGAAGGACGCCAGCCGGATGCAGAAGTACGAGGACATCAAGTCGAAGGAGGAGCAGGAGCTGCATGACATCCACTCTACGCGCTCCAAAGAACGTCTCAATGCCTACACATAAACACACACCCAAGAGAAACGACCAACGCACACTTACCTGTCAGACACACACAAGATGATACATGCACACACACACACACACACACACACAGAAACACTCACACACAGGTCAAGGGATAGCAGAAACATACGTTACATACATGAGTGAAAAAACAACACAAACATACATTCAAACACAACAGATAAAGACACGAGTAGGCAGAAATTAGTTGATTACATGAAAACGATGAAAACACAGACACCACACAGTAGTTTATTGACTCAGGTGGTCTATGCTAACATTTAGCGGCCGCTACGTTGGTTTGCTCCATGCTTTTATTAACCCTGACTAAAGCTTTAACTTAAAGGTGAAAACAAGCAGAGGCCACTTTCCTCTGCCCACTGCCAGATTGTATCCTACTAAAACTCACTGATTAGAGGCTCCATGATTACAGGATTGCTTAATTAGAATTGATCCAAAAAGAAAATCTGGCTACTTCAAATTTAAGGAGCTCATGATATTATTCCTTCATATAGCCTAAGGATCTAAATTTACCAGGGCAGGCCTCAGCCTTTTGGGGCCTTAGCTTGCCTTCCCCCAGTTTCACAAAGTAGCTTTGCAGTGCGTGAGTGTGCAAAACAATCAGCTGGAACTGGCCTCACAGACAGAAACCAAAATAACCCTGGCAAAGATATGAAAAATTTAGGGGAAGAAAGTACAGTGCATGATTAAAAAAAGCACAAGAAACATACAAGATAATAACACTTTCAGAAAGACAAATAATGAGCAGAAGAACCCAAAGAAATATCATATTTTAATTTGCTTGTTTGTGCCGCCCCGGTGGCCTTAAGCATCTAATTAGTGTGCTTAATGTTAGGGCCAGCTTTGCCTTTTCTTTTTAAAAAACGCCAACATTTTCTTGAAAGGTTGGTGTTTTTTTTTTTGTGTCCCTTTCACTGGCCTACCATCAGTCACCATATGGTGATCTCCACAGCTTGCTGCTGAACGGCTATGAGCTATTAGCATGGCACACTGAAGTCAACAATCTACAGCCGACATACGATTAAGTTTGGTGTCTATGAGCTCATCCTTTTATGTGGGGGCCTTTCAAAAAGGGGCAATGTCACTGTATCTCCCCAATAGCCTCAATACCTGCAGTACACACACATCACATGTCCACACACACACACACACACACACACACACACACATAGATGTGGCTGAATGGTCGGTGTTGTGCAGGCAGTGTTGTATGGTGGTGTCATGCTGTGTTGTGTCGTTTCGCCACATTATGATGACTGGTATTGCAGAGAAATATGGCCCCCCAAGGAAATGTGTACCTCCTGAGTACAAATGGGTAGCTTTGATAATGTTTCCTCCCCTCCCCCTCTCTTTTCGACTCCTTTTACCTCCGACCCTACCCATCCTTTTTCTCTACGATGTGACCTCTTCATGCTGAGCCCAGTTTCATTAGTTGTTCCACGTATTCGTGTTACACATGCCGACCGGTGTGTCCCACAGGTGGCTGTTAGAAGCGCAGGGGGATGGGATTTTTGAAATGATGATAATGACATATGTTGATTGAAACAAGATGCAGATCAAAATGATGTCATAATTTCTCCAAATTCCCCCAGCATTGCTCTATTTGTACTCTGTATCACATATCAGGCTCCTTACGCTCACTTGAACTAAAAGCACTTAATTTCGAAGAGGCCATTTCAGACACCTAGTGAAACGGGGCTCTGCGTCCTCCCCCCCTTCATTCCCAGTTTGTATAAACTTGTGATTTGTCCTCAGAAACAGCACATCTTAGCAGCACAAAGTCTTTTTAACGTGTGTCATGTTCTCATCAGTCTGATAAATAATGTTTTTCTCACTTTTTGGAATTTTTGCCACATTTTTATCAGTATTATTTATGTGTAATTTTAGCATTGGGGGTATTTAAAACGGGGCAGGTGTGTAAGGGGAGGGGTGGGGTTATATCACTTTCACATTTTCATGTGATGACTATATTTCAGTGGTTCTGCACACACACACAAATACACACAGAAACACGTACAAACGCATACACACCAATCATCTCGAGGGATTCTGTTCTCTCGTCGTCATGTTTTCTTTTGTGTATCTTTTTTTTTTTTCAACGAGCCCTGATGTGACCAAAATAATAGTTTATTTGTAAGTTGAATTCAACTTGTCGTTGATGTGAACAGATGATTACTGTGAATTCTGGGTGGTGTGGTGGTTGTGCAGGAGCAGCATCACTGAAGGTTGTAAAGGCTGAGCTGGTTAGCTTTGGTCTGAGCAGGATGGAGGATTCATTTGCCAAAAGAATTTTAAGGTTTAAATATTGGTAACCTCTTAGGAGGAGTTTGTGAGGTGTTTGAAATGGATGACATAGAGTGGAACTTGTATTAAAAAAAGGTCTGGAGGTGCTGAAGGAATTGGGAGAAAGGAAATAAGAGTCGCCGTTACTGGCTGCAGGGATTGATTAAGCTGGAGTGTTATCGGGAGCGATGAATGATGTCAGCTCAGAAGCACGTGGTTTAGGAATGATTTGCTTTATTGAATACGTTTGTGGTTTTAAGGCTGTTCCAAGTCTATATTTGGTGTCTTAATGATCTCCTTGTGCTTTTAAACTGGATGCTGTATACTGCATATATTTTTGATCAGCAAACAACACTTAAAATTGGTGATTATAATAAGAGATCATCTAAAATATCATCACTCTGACTGAGATGATTTTTGATTCAACTTCTACCCTTGGAGGGAGATGTCTGTATTTTTGAACATGGGCTTTATTTTCCCATGTTTGTGCCTGAATGACAAATGGAGACAACAGTTTTCGAAATTGGTTCAGTAGTGAGAGAGAGCGCTGCAGCTGTAGCAGCAATTTATGTCCATTAAATGTGCTTGTTTTTATATCTGACACTCACACCGTTATTGTGAGTGTCTTACAACAGTGCAGAAAGGACGCTACAGAGAAATTAAATGTCTTTACGTACCTTTCGCTGGTCTGTTTGTTATTGTGTCCAAGTTTCGCTCAAGGAGAAGTCTTGTTTTTATATCTCAGGAGAGGTGACTTGTTGCAGGGAAACAATGGTGGAAACGTTAGTTGGAGAGAGGAGTGCTGGGAAGAGTTTGTTGTGTTGGAGAACGATGCATAAACGTTGGAGAGATTTCAGAGCGAGACTTTTCCTTGAGTGAGAGTTAGTGACACTAACAAGCATGCTGGATCAGCAAATGGGAAGGAATAATGTTTCATGTCTCTGTAGGCTCCTTTCTGTAATGTTGTCAGACACTTGAAATAACAAGCTGAGCCTGTCAGTGGCAAAAAGACACACTTATAGTGGACATCAGTTGATGCTAAATGGTGCCTGTAGGGATTACACTGCAGGCTGTTTCGCCGCTGTGGCTGCAGCGTTCTCTCCATTACACAAAAACATGGAAAAATAGGGCCCAGGTTCGAAAAAACATTTTTTCAAGAGGCCAGTTAGACTTCAAATGAGTGGTTATAACTAAAAATTTGAAGTGGATTTTTTTCTTTATGTCCTGTATACAGCACTTCAGATTTAAAAGAGGGAGATTTAAAGATTAAAATACTTAAATTCTTGGTCACTAGTGCACAGGGCTGTTATGTTTGTATTCTGTGTTAAGTTATGTTGAGCCAGCCGTTAGGATAAGAGGATTGTACGTAATGTCTAACTGTGAAGGAAAGTGATGATTCTCTATCTGCCAGTAGAGATGACTGAGAGGGGATTTGTCTTCAGAATGATGACTGTACGGATGATGGTGACGATGGTGGTGGTGATGATGGTGATAGTGGCGATGACGTGAGTCATAGAAGGGTTTGATTTGATGAGACTACTAGCACACACACACACACATACGCACAAACACACAAATACACACACAAACACACACATGTTCCACCACCGCCATTACTCTGAGCCGTAATTCTTTGCTCTTTTACTTTTCACCGATAACATTTCACTATTTTATTATGAACTTTTAATCTTTGAGACTTTTTAAATGTGAAATCATTTAATTAGAAAAAAAGAAAAAAATTTTTTTCCTTTTTCCTTTTTGTGGGCAGTATTAACTCTGTAAAAAGATATACATATATGTGAAACAGTTGAGGTGAGCAGCCGGGAGAATGATTTCCTATTGGTTACAGAGTCTGGAAGAGGTGGTTCAGTCCCAATGTCCTGAGCCTTTACTCCCTCAGAGAGCTGCTTATACACACACATCAAAGATATCAGATTTTGAAGTTGTTGCAACACTGGTTATTCAAAATGCAAGATGATTTTCCACATGATAGAGGATATATTGGCTGATATAAATGTAGTATAAACATTTAAATATCTAAAACTAATCCCGTACTTTGGAAAAGGTTCTGCAATAATGTAAAAAGCACCTGGAGTAAAAGAGGCTAAACATGTCACCTCTATAGGAGGCAGAACTCGTCATGAGACGGGACCTCAGCATCTGATAAATGTTTTTATTTCATTTTAACAAGCATGAGGGTATAAAATAGCGTCATATTGTAAAGCTAATGACAAATAAACGTGGTGTAACGAAATCTTTTGACCGCCTGTTTGGTAGTTAAGTTGGTGTCAGGGGGGCACTGTCAGGAGAGGTAAACCAGGCAAATGTTTGGGACCCCTGCAAAATAATTTGGAATATCTTGGAAAATTTTGTAACTTTAAAATCCCTTTAACCTCCCTTTAAGACACTATACAGTGCACCATCGCTACCCTCTGGATGACAGCTGGATGCAGTCGTCCTTGCCTGGGGCCCTCCAGAATCTAGGATCGCCACTGGTGTTAGTTGCGCAGAACCTTTGTGGTTTCACACTCATGAATGCCAAACTGATGCAGAAGGCAGGTCGACAACACATGCAGTAACACATTAATTGGCTGAGTGGCCATACAAGCGCTTAAGTTTTGCTTGTCTGGGGTTTAAAACAGTGTTTGAATCTGGTTCTTTGTGGTGTGTAAATGCAGCTGAATTTGACAAAAATTAAAAGACAAAACAAAAAAAAAAGCCGTACCATCGTTGTCAACGTGGGGAGACTCCACCAGACTCGTCTCCTGTTCAGGTGTGTCTCGGCTGCATGCAGTCAGTATTTTTAAGGTTCTAGTTTTACAGTAACAGTATTCTATCATTTCATTGCCTGACAATGGATGTCATGTCAGTGTTTTTAACTTCAGATAAATGAAAAAAAATAGTTTTTTTGTGCACTTATTGACCATTGTGAGCTCTCTCTCTCTCTCTCTCTCTCTCTCTCTCTCTCTCTCTCCATTTCTCTATCTCTCTATCTCTCACTCTCTCTCTTATTCTTGGTGTGTAAGTGCATTGAGATCCCCGTAGTGGGATCTGTGTATAGTCTTGCAGCATTGGTTATAATCTGAAGAAATAACAATGATGAAAATGAATGAATTCATAATAATGAAGATAATCTTATACTAGGTAAAAAAAAAAAAAAAAAAAGACAGTGAATCTAGTTGTTGTTTGTGGCATGGTTATGCATTCAATGGTCATAATTTCAATGATTAAAACAATACAAAAAAAAAAAATCATTCTTTTCCACTGGCGCTGTTCTGCTGTTTTCGTTCTGTTCTCCACTTTTCAGTGTGCAGTATTGCGGTTGCTGTTGCTAATGGTGTTGCTAAGCTAGCTTGCTTGCTCAGTTGTTTACCACCAGAGCAATATATTGTAGCAGTCTGACGAAACAAAGACATAAAACGAAAAATCCATACCCGTAAATTTCTGGTATACAAAGTGCATGAATCTATGACTGCAAGTCTTAAGTGATATGATCATGGTGTTCTTTATTGTTTATCCTAATAAAAGCGGATTTGCATATGTGGTGTAATGTATTGCTCTGGCCACCCATTATCCTGCACCCACCTCTGCTCACATCCTCTTCCTCATTCGGGGTCATTTAGGCTCAAATCACCGCCACTCTGGAGGTCCGATTCAGATTTTAAAACTGACTCTTGTCTGATTTCCTGTGTGCTTGTGTAAACAAGAGTCACTGATGCATAAGTAAAGCTTCACGTAACCTAGCAACAAGCACAGTCTGCCCAGCGCTCACAGCCAAATCACCATCTGTAATGGACGCTAACAAGGCAGAATAATATTCCAGTTACCTCCAAAGCATATTTAGAGCTGCACAATCACATTTGAAGGTGAATGGTTGTAGGCAGCAGTGACTGAATATTGGCAGATATTAGATTCCTTGCTGAATTAGATCTCCACATATGATAAGGCCCAAAAATAAATCTGAGAATATGTAGTTTTTAATTTCAGCAACACTATCAAATTGGGTCATCTTTGCCAGGTGGTGTTAATGTAGCCTAAATGAAGACAAAGCACCTAAAATCAGATGTTTAAACTGCCATAAGGACATACGGCTGCTGTCGTGATCAGGAAGAGGATATGAGCTGCTTGTTCTCCATTCGTTTGAGTCTCCTCATTTACTCTCTAACCCACGTCTCCTTGTAAAGATGAATATGTGTGTTGACACGTACTAACCCTGCGTCCTTCTTGTCTACCCGCTGACCAAGGCTGAACAAGGATAAACTTTACCATTCCATTGATCCTGACCGCATGCATTTGTGACAGGATTCAGAAACTTTAACTGTGTCAGCCTGATAACGCATGAATTTCAACGACATGAAATCTGATTTCTAACACTCTGTGAAAGAGATTTGATCTGTTTTTGACTGTTTTTGCAGCTATAAAAACCTCAGCTCTGTATCACAGGATGAAAAATCAGATCCTCTGTGCCTGAACTAATTCAGCTCTTGTCCATCGTGAACTGAACCACAGATCTAAAAGCTGATGATGTCAGTCTGTGACCTTCAACTGATTATCACATGTTTCAGATCCATGCATTATGTCAGGTTGGACATTTTGGACGTTAGGAGTAGATTTTATTTTATTTTTTTTGTTGGTTTCACCATGGTATTCTAGACTTTTTGTACTTCACTCTGTTTGCTTAGTAGCAGGCTTTATCTGATTCACTCCTCCATTTTTGTACATATCTGTGCCAACAGCTTGGGCAGACAGTGGCTTTTTTTATTTGTAAAGACATAAACTTGCTTGCATATATAAATAAAATTAAATAATACACTTGTGTACTTGTTAATAAGGGAATGTTTCGAGTTTGTGTCTTCATTTCATAGCACTTTTGTGGTTGTCTAAAAGGCTTTGAACATAATTTTAAAGGTATAGTATGCAGGATTGTCAGTTTCTGTTTGTGATCACGCTCACCAGCAAAAGTAAAAACCAACCCAAGATTCTCTCTTAATCTGCATTTTGCCTCACTATATTTTCATTTCTTTCATTCTTCGTATATATTGATTTTAAGGGGGAGTCCTGCATAGCATATCATCAGATTTTATAGAAGTCTTAGGATACACCTACCGCGTAGGTGTCTAGGTATCCAGTGTGCTGTTTGCCTGTGTGTAGTGATAAATGCACTGTCACCTAATCACAATTACAAAGCTCCACCTTACCAATGGAGCAGAGCTCATCAACATTCAGTACAGGTGCAACATTGGCCTGAACATGATATCCACAGTGGAGTGAAGTGAACCAGGTCAATATATGAGCTCATGTTTTATTTGTTCTGACAGATGCATCTGGTCCTCCTTCCTTTTGGACAGATTTCCAGCAACTTGAGATCTAATGGGCTAGTCACAACTGTGGAGCATGTCTGAGACGATGACTTTAAAGTAGAATGACATTGAGGCATTTTAGAAAACAACCAAGATGGCTGCAGCTGACATGAAACTGTCCATGAAGCCACTATTGCATCAGTATTGAACAGATGACAATTTATTTTCGCTGAAAGAAGAACAACCAACTGCACTTAAAACTTTTCTTGTGAAGAAAAATGTGCGGCACTTTTATCTTCGTACACTAAAGTTTGTTTCCATTTTTCTGACACAACATCACATGTGTTGTTGCTCTGATTGGTAGTAGGTCTGTCTTATTGGTTGTAGATCTAGTCTCAATCCCAGGGTGTCAAATATGGCAGCCTGGTCAGCGGCCCTTGGCTTCTGTTTGAGATGCACAAGGTATCCCACAGCGTCTGTATGTGATGCCCCAGACTTTCAGCTTACTCCAGTGTAATCTAGTGTATTCCCTACGGCAATAAGGTGGTAGAAAAAGTAAGAATTGTAAGATTCACCAGTACAGGTTTGAACCCAAATGCACGACAAAGAGGCAATAGAGTTGCAGGGAAAGTTTACTTTACTCGATCAGGGGAAAAGGGAAAAGTATGCTGGATAGCCTGGCAGAAACATAAGACAATCTGGCAGAGGGCAGGGGAAAATGGACTGATAAATACTGAAGGACTGATGGGAGAATGAGCCACAGGTGTGGAGATGGGTGGGGAAAACCAGGTGCAGGTGATGAGCAGATTGAATGGGCTGAGAGGAAGGCGTGATCTGAAATGACAGGAGAGCTAGTGATGAGACATAAAAACAAAACCAGATGAAAACAAAGTAAGAGTTGGGATTGGTGCAGTGTTTGCACTGTGAGAAGAACATGTAGTGCTGCTGATACCCTGGTACAGACACAACTTACAAGACAAATAGCCCCATCTGGTGGACAATGCAAAACAATACATCTTCACTAAAATTGTGTTTAATCATAATAGTTTGTAATGAATGATTATTACAGTGTAACAATGGAAGAGAAGAGATATGTGGAGGTGAAAATTAGCACATAATGGTGTTTACCTCCAGTGTCCAGAAAAAAATTACAAGCTGCACAAAAATGATATTTTTGGCAAGAAAAGGTAACACTGATGTGACAAGCAGATGGCAGGTGAGATATGGCAAATCATCACATAAAGGTCACATTATCATGACAAAACATCCAGGTGATTAGTTACATAAACATCACATGTGACAAAATGTGTTAGGTACTTTTCAAATGAATCCAAACAGCACAGGATTCTGGAAGGAAACATTTAAAAAATTGCCTCAACCAGAATTAAAATAATAATAAAAAGGAAATATGTAGCTGGAAAGATCCACGTATATGGCATATTTAGGGAGTGACTGACTTGTGCAGCCTAAAGGAGCGACTCATAATTACCCTCTCATGTTGCAACAGGTCCAAACACACAAGGTCATTTTGAACTGATCCAGAGCCTCTGATCGGGAGGTTATTACACCCTGTTAAGAACTCACTGAAATTCATTTTTAAACAATGAAGATTTGCCAGCCGTAACACAAGTTACTTTTAGTTAAGTTTTATTAAAAAAAATTGTCAAAACTATGCAGTCACTAGTGAGACTTTTGGAATAATGGTAAATGCAATGAAAGTAGAACTGAATCAGTGAACTGACTTATTGTCTTTTAAACAGAAAAATCTGTCATGTGAAGTTTGCAAATATTAGGTAACATTCGCCACCATGAGCTACTTAATAATCTACCAAGTAAAGCTGTAGCAGCAAAACTCTTTAGTGTAATGAACAGCTCATTTTATTGCTTTTGACCTTTTCATTTAAAAAATACAGTATTTTTCCAGTTACATAGTTTCTTGCTTTAATCACATACTGCAAAAATGGGCTGGGTTGTATGAAATGATTTTAACCAACACATGAAGTAAAAATATAAAATAAAAATATCATATTCAGTACATGTTAGTGGGGGTTGCAGGAATTAACACTTCGGATAACGCTCTATGAAAGTGACACATCCTATTTACAGAATTATTTATACAGCTCAATGAAAAACAATCAGAAATGAAAAATAACTGTAGGATATTTTCAATATAAACATTGTTATCTGAGTTATTCAGAAGAACAACATCCTCAGCAAACCAACAAACATATACTGTTATGGTTATGGCATTACAGAAATACTATTATGTATCAGTGGGGCGTAAATAGTGCAGGCAGTGTGGTTGCAGTGGGGCCTGTGTGGTGGGGAGTCCATAGAGAGAGTGGGCCCTCCATCAATATGTTGGATGGAGAATGGGCCCTTCAGAGTGATTGCCACCTTGAATATATAACTGGATTCAAAGAGGAACTCTTATTACGTAACTATTTTTTGTACAGATATGTAATGATGGTTGCTGGGTAATATTTCTGTTGATGATGTCATCCAGTGTCAAGTCTCTGATCATGTGATGAGACGATATGTGCACAATAGCGTGCACTAGGGCCCATCGTAACTACTAATGCCGCACACTTTGCAAATTGGACGTCCATCTTCAGCAACAACTGCCTGGTCGGTTTGTAGATATCTGAAATGCTTCCACGCTGCCGATTTAAGGTGCTTTTTTGGGCAGATAAAAGGATGGAATGTAACTTCCCTGTGATATTTTAATAGCTCTCCTCAAGGCTTCAGGTGAGCGGCAGGACACTCTAACGTAAAGCAAACCAGCACACACACGTGTGACCTGCAAGATTCGTTTTCACATGGCAGCAATGCAGGATTCAGGACACTGCAGATTTTACAGTTCCTACAGTTCAGAAACCGTGACATTATGTAAGTGCAAAAGTGTTCAATCCAGACATCCCTATTTGTATATAGATATACACAATGAAAAGCGCATCCATGCAGGAGAAGTGCTAACCAGGTAAAGTGTTTCTCAATGAACTTCCACAGCAGTCAGTGTACAAAAATACATGTCAGGCTCTACATACATTTGCATTAGATACTTTAGTGATAAGCTGCACTTGACAACTGAATTAAATGATGCCCAGGTTTTCGTAGATGACATCATCATCAACAGAGTGGTCCGTGGCTTTTGTTGTGCTCATACTGGCAGTAGGAGGGGAAGATGAAGCGGAGCTGGGAGGGACAGTGTCAGAGGATGAAGGTTTTTTGCAGACTTGAGCATATAGGTGAGCAAACGGGTCTGGCTTGCTCTCTTTTTTATCAGACACTTCCTCCTTCTTGCTCACAGGCTCAGTATAAATGGGTTCATCATGTGTACGATGCTTTTTCACGACTTTTCCTTTGCTCTGAATGACAGTTTTTTTATTCTGGACTGGACTGACTTTGTCATACACCTCCGAGTAATCTGAGTCTGGGTGATTGATGTTAAAGCTGGGATGTGCAGCAGAGGAGTTAGGAGAGGGAATGAGAGAGTCTGTGGAGCCGGGGGGTTTGAGCGGGAGAACACATGCGGGATCCACATACAGAGCCATGGTCGGCTGCGGCCTTGATACAGATTGGATGCAATCAGCTGGGTCAGCATACACAGCTTCTGATTGGCCGCCAAGATGACCTCCAGATCGGCTGTCATGTGTGGGGACCATTGGAAGAGGCATGAGGGTGATAGGAGCTGGCTGCGTTGATACACTCTCTGGTGAACGGAGCAACTCCTCCTGTGCACTGTCTTCTGAGGCAACGGCACTGTCCTGTATCCTCAGTTTGTTCTCCAGAATGGCAGCCATACTGGTCATATCTGGTATTTTGGGGAGAGGGGAGTGGGCCTGTATGTTGGGGAGAGGGGAGTGAGCCCGTATGTTGGTTACAACCTTCTCAGCCTCTTGGTTTTGATTGCCTGAAGTGGCAGATGAAGTCTTGCGTTTGATGGTACTCTGGATCAGTAAGAATATCTTCTCAGACTGCTGTGTCTCAAAGGTGAACGTTCCCGGACCAGAGTCACAGCGTCTCCCTGCTTCGATGGTTAAGGCCAGCTGGTAAGAAAACACAAAGAGGCACACAAGCATGTTCATGAAACTGATAATTCTAGAATTGAGAAGCAATCCAATGCATCACCTTTGTCATGATTCCTACCCTACCTTATCTTTTCCATATCGTCTCAGCAGTTCGTACGGCCATTCTCTGACAATGTCCTTTTTCTGTGTTTCTCTCAGCAGCAGTGCCTCTTGCCCGACCTGCAGCCAGTACGACCCCTTTAGGCCACAACGTGTCGCTGCATCAGTCCTCTGAACCTGCACCCAGAACTCTGAGGCTAGACAGAAGAAAGAGACAACTCTTTGTCATTACTATGCAGATAAAACACTTTTAAACCTGTAAAGTAAACATACAGTTAAAGAGAGTGACAACATCACTTTCCACCTAATCTCCAAGAAAAATGTTGGCATTGTACATTTCTGTAAACCACAAATCTCGGCTAGAAATCCAGCAATGTCTCAGTAAAAACCATTCACTTTTCGTGGC